TCTGTTAGAATAAATACTACAAAAAGACAAAAGATAAATTATTTGAGGTTGTGGAAAAAGGAACCCACAAACATTGTTGATATGAATGAAAATTAGCAGGATTATTATAGAAAACACTTTGGAGTTTCTTTAAAAAGTAAAAAGAAAATTACCAGATGATCCCACAATCTGTAACTTAGTATATATACAAAAATAAATTATTATACAGAAACTATTCAGAGTACCATTCACCCATAGAAAGGCTAAAACTTCTACATTTACAACAAAATGGCTGGATCTGAAGAGCATTATGTTAAGTGAAACAAGCCAGGCAGAAAAAAGGGACAAACACTGCATGATCTCATTCATATGTGTAATTTCAGAAAAGCTATATCATAGAAGTAGAGTATAGGTGGTTATCAGAGGCTAAAATAACTTGGTATGTGTATGTTTGGCCTGATGGTTCAAAAGACAGAAAGAATAAAGTTAAGTGATTTATTGTGCATGTAGTAACTATAACTGTTTGTTTTACTTTTGAAAAGGTTCAAAACAGTGTATAAAATGTTCTCACCACAATGTGACAACTCTAATAACTATACAAGATAATACATATAAAATTATCTATATTTAGTCATATAGGTATGTATTTCAAAACTTATACAACAGAAATGCATACAGTGTTGTGTGTTGGTTTAAGGTTAACATTAAAAAGAATAATCATGGGTAGTTCATTTTCCTCCTTTGCTAAACCTTTAGTTTTCTGCATATGGGAAAAACTTGGGATAATCCCCAAATGTTGGAAGCTAGATATCAGTCATTCTTATTGTTTAGATCTAAAATGTTAATTTCAGATTTTCTTGTGATCAGATGTGGGCTTTTGGAGAGTTTCTGGAGACACTATACTATTTAGTGAATTAATCGGTAGATGAGCTCATAGCTGAATGTATATAAGGTGGGTGAGACCTGGTGCAAGGAAGTGGGCCACTGGAAGTGTGAGCTGGATGGTGTGTCCTCCTTCCCAGCTGCTTCCTTTCCTCTCCCTCCCACTGCCCCTGCCTCCTAACTGCCATAGACTGAGCAGATTTCCTGTGCTGTGCTCTTCCACCCTGCTGTTTCTGCTTGGACCCAACTAACTGTAGGCTGCATTTTCTAAAACTATGAGCCAAAATAAATCTCTCCTCTCCTTAAATTGTAGGTGTGACTATTTTGTCCCAGTAAGTGGAAAGTGACTAATCCAGAAAATGGTCACCAAAAGTGAAGTCATGGGTTTGACTATATGTGACTATGTGGTTGAGAAGCCTTTGGAACTGGTGTGTAGGAGTTTAAAGAGGTTTGGAGATGCGGGGTAGAGAATTCCTAAAATGTTAAACAGAGTTGAGTGATTGTGGTCATATTTTAAAAAGTGGAATGCTAATAGGAGTGCGCGTAGCAAAGGCCAGGCTCATGAGGTTTTAGTTGGAAATGAGCACACTATTGAAAACTGGACTAGAGGCTATTTATGTTTCATTCTGGCAAAAAATCTGAATTTCTGTCCATGTTATAAGACTTCATGTAAGGGTGAATTTAAAAGTGGTGGGCTAATTTATCTGACAGTGGAATTCCCCAAATAGCCCAGTGTTCAAGCTATGGGATGCTGGCTGCTTTTACCCAGATCTACAGTAAGAATCAGAAACAAAAAGCAAAGCTGAAAGATGTGAAAATCCTGCAGTTCATCCAGCAAGGAAGCATATGTAAAGCTGGTGTCAGAGGCAAAATATTGTGGTTTAGATTTAAAATGTTCCCCCCAAAATCTTATGTATTCAAATGTAGGCTTTTTCGAAGTGACTGGATCATGAATGCATTATACTGACTACTGCTTTAATCCATTGAGTTAGTAACTAACATGATGTCAGGATATAATACCCAGTTGAAGGAGCTGGATCCTGGGAACATGACTTAGAAAGGTGTATTCTTGTCTTTGGATTCTTGTCTTTTCTCTGCTTTCTGGCTTCCATTGTGGGGAGCAGCTTTCTTCCATCATTCCCTTCCAACATCCATTTCTGCTTTGAAGACAACCAACCATGAACCTTCTGAAACTGTGAATCAAAATAAACATGTTTTCTTTAAATGTGGGTGCCAGGTATTTTGTTCTAGTGACAGAAAAGTTACTATTACACAGATGGTACAGATATGGTGCTTGACACAACTACAATTGTAATGCTCTGAACTCATAGACAAAATGCGAAATATACATATGTATTTTGGGCAGATCCATGACAAAACATGAATTTATCTGCATATTGAAATGAAGACAAGTTTTCTAAATAGGTTATAAATCTAGGAAATCACCTTAAACAGAAGAATACTACCTGGAAAGTATGATTTTGGACCCAGTATTAAAGATAAGAAAGAAGTTCTTTACAAACATATGTCTTCAGGCTTCTCAAACTTTGATCTAGATGAAAATCACTTGGAAAGATGGAAAACGCTGATCTTACTTCATTGCGTTTAGGAAAAGACCTCATATTCTGCATTTTTCACAGCTCTTAGTACTGATATTGCTGGTTCATGGACCACATGAAATTTGGAGAGAGAGATTTAATGAGCAATAAGTGTTGATCCCGAGACAGGAAACAAGGTTTGAAGGGCAAAACAAGTAGGCAGTATTTTACTATCAAAGATTTCATTCAAGTGCTGACAAAATCCAAGACGGTAGGAGAACGAGTGAAGAGGTGTGGAGGATGACTATAAACCTGTGTGTAAGTTCTTTTGGAGCTTGGGAAATTGTTGTCATGCAAGAATATAGTATCAATAGTACAAAATTTTTCAGTTTTTTAAAAAGAAAATTCAGAGATTTACTTCATGTTAAATATGAAATCTATTTGTTTGTAAATTCTGCCTCAAATTACACACAAATCTACACTCACATTCACATACCCACAAATACAACATTCTGAGTCAAAACAAATTGAATTTTCATTGTAAAGTAGCAGACTCTTTCATCCAAATGGCCAAATAAGATCAAGGGGTACAAAAGATAGGTATCAGAAGACAGAAATTAGCACTTAAGGAAGACTTCCTGGTTTACTTCTGAATATATACTATGAATTAGAGTTAAATAAAAGAGTCTACAGCAAAGTTGTTTTCAAAACATAACTGATAGTAACCGAATCTAGATTATTTCAAGGCAGGGCTAGATTTGTTAATAGGAAAGTAATGTAGACAAGCTAATAATTGAATATTTAAATTTTTTATTCTGTCCCCAAAATTGTCCCATATAAACAAATTAGCTAATGCTAAAGTATTTATCTAGCTAAAGAAGACTCACTGATATGAAATTTCAAACCTTAGGCATATAGGGTTGTATATAGTGAACCCATTTAGATAATGCCATATATTTTCTTTATTTCTCTGATGTTTTAGTAGACCTTGATAAATTGGTGCTCCATATAGTTCTCAGTGTAACCAATTTTTTTTTTATGTGTGTGTTGTGGGGGTGGGCAACTTTTTAATGTGGTTTATACAAGGGTGTCACAAAGTCAAAATAGATTCTTAGGAAGTGATCTGGCTTTAGAACATCCTTGCCTGCAATTCAGGAGTTGAGTGGATACAGGGACAGGCTTAGGAGTACAATGACAGAGGAAGAACTAGGAGCAGCAGACTAGCTAGTTTTAATTAGGAAACAAGATAGTAAAAAGTTCATTTTTGTCTTTGAAACCCAGGTTCTTAAAAGTATGATAGAAAACATAAAGTTGCAAGGAAAAACTTAAGAGTTATTAATGGATCCTCATTGCCAGAAAATACACAGCCTTTCTACTACATTGGCACTTAAAATTAAACTGCTACTCACACATTCTCTCTAGAGTAGTTTAGGAAGACACAGTCAAGGCTTGGCTTTGTTTCAGTTTTATTGTTTGTCAAGACTGTAGAGGCAGACTCTGCAAAAACCTGTCAGCATCAAAACACCTTTATTCTTTTTCCTTTAAAAACATAGCAGAGCAAAGTTATGACACAATCATGACTTATTAAGGATTCTTAGAAATCTACCAGAGATGTAGGGATGTTGGGAGAGTAAATAGGGAGCACAAGGACTCATTCTAAAGCAGGTGAAGCAGAGAGCACAGCTGGGAACTATATAAGGCTTAAACAGCAACAGCAACAGAAACCTCATTAACCCTGAAAGACAGCTTTTCTAAATTTTCAAATACAGTTCTGGAGAGAATCAGTGGTATGAGAGTAAAACAAAATTATATAATATAACTAATTTCATTGATTATTGTTTGTTTCACATGATAGCATATCAAAATTATGTAAGTTACATAAAATATGTGTTAATTACTTCTTATCAGTGATCTAAAATGCAAGCCTACAATTTTATACTGCAACAGGTTATAGAGTAACAGACCAAGAGTCACATTCCTGTTGAATCTCCCTGTGTCTTCCCAGCAATGAAGCAGTTCTTCTCAAAAAACAAGGCAGGAGGTTCAAAAGATTTAAGATCGTGTCTCTTAGAAGCTGATTCAGGCTCTTCCCTGGCACTTAATTTACCATTGCCCTTCCTCTGAGATAAAGTACAGAAAACGTTTTCTGCCCAGTTGACTTCGCCCTTTTAGGTAGAAAGATGAGAAGGCAAGTGTGCATTAGCCCCATCCAAACAACCATGGGAAAATTAGATGTTAGAGCCCGTGCTTCAGGATAAAAGGCTACAACCAGGCTTATTTTCACACTCCACCATCAGTGAAGCCAAATGACGTTAAGTAAAAACATTCATATGTATTGATATATGCAAAGAAAATTAATTATGGTAGCCTGTTTTGAAAGAAATGTGAAAGAAATTTAATAAATGGTTTTGATGTCCATTGAATTTTGTCTCCTGAAATCCCTGAAAGTCCTACTTACTGGCAACTCAAAACACAGAGAACTTCAGAGAGTCTCCCTTTGTCACCACAACACGGCTCCATGTAACAGATATGACTGTGATTTGAACAATAATCTTCCCAGCCTCCTTATTTAACCTTGTGTTTTGCCTTTGTTCTTTCTAGGAAGCACAGAGTGCCTATGTACTCTTTGTTGTTGCCATATTTTGGGTGACAGAGGCTTTGCCTCTGACAGTAACCGCTTTGCTTCCTGGATTAATGTTCCCCATGTTTGGGATCCTGTCTTCTACAAGGGTAAGTTCCCCCTCAAAAGTTGTCATCATTAGATTCTTTACGTTATATTGTGATTTCCTTTGTGAAAGTTGTTTTTTCAAGGAGCAATAATCTTTTTAGCAAGGCTGCCCCAGAAGTCTCCCAAGTTCCTTCCCTCTGGGTTTCTGCATGCCTACTGGCCATCTGGAAAAAACAAAACAAACAAACAAACAAACCATGGGTTGCTACCTTTTACATCCTGTGTTTCTGTAGGAAAAATATGTTCCATCTCCTTTGTTGACATCTGTGACTGATGACCCCTCCTAATAAAAGGTTCATCTCAGTCACATCTTCCATAACCTTTTTCTATTCACCAGGCTTTAGTTTCACAGCAGTGGAAAAACAATTTTTATTTTTAATGAAGAAAAAGCATCCCTGTTTTCTTTTCCAGAAACCTGCCATTTCAAAAGATAAAGCCAAATTAACTTTCATGTGTACTTCTATTTTGTTCTTGCTGAGAGGAATTTATTCATGCTGAGAGTTGTTTCTTACCTTTACACAATCTAAGGGTACCCATCTGAAGAAAATGGATTCAGTTTCCCATTAAGAGCGTAAAATGGACTGCAACCTGAGTATCTATCTCCATGTAGTCTCCAGCCACCCAGTAAACAACGGCTGCCTAAACAACAGCTGAAACATTCTCAGGAAAGATGACAATTGTGAGTTGCCAGTTAGTGCAATTTATCACCTTTGGACTTTTCTGTAGCCACGACACTGCTCTCTTGATGTCTGCCTGTCTTTAACATGGATGGAGAATTTTCTTAATTAACTTTTGGTTACAGTTTTTTTCTGTGAGATAAGCTGCTCCCTCTGTTTTTGTCATGTTATTCTCTCCAGTTTTAAAAGTCAAATCGTTTTATATTTCTGACCTTCTGAAATCCTCTTTCTTACTGCATTTCCTCTCTCTTGCTAATCTTGATTCTTTTCTCTCTAAGTAACATGGAGCTGTAAGAAAGTATGACCAGGCTGACGTTCTGTTGACATGGAATCTGTGATGAAGAATCTAAGTTTCCTAATGCTCTCGAGCACTACCTCTTTGTGGTATAGGGGTGCTTACTTACAGGCAACAAATCTGTAGATGAGAGTATACTTATGTGATTGTTGGTGGGTGTACCTGCCCAAGAATTCTTTATCTCCAGAGGTACCAGCATCTGACTAATTTAATAGCCAGAGACTCTTACATTTGTGAGGGAGTTCTTTTAGCTCAATTCTTACCTGGGGAAGAATTCCATCCACAATATTTCTCTGACAGATGCTATCATTCATGGTTTAAGTGTTGTGAACTTCTAATGACACCCAAAGAAAATCATATCATTTTGAATAATTTATTCTTGCAAACAATTTAGCTTTATTGAGCCCAAACTGAAATTCAGTCACTTTGACCCATGAAAAATTTACCTGGCATCTAAGATTCTCCAGTGTTCTTTAATGATGCTATTGCTTGGATTTTTAAAATAATATGATCTCCTCCTTATATGTTCCCACTTCTAGTCTTTATGATTTTTAGACTTCAACTTTTTACCCTGAAACCCCACAGCCTCAAATCCACAACCTCCAATTCCACTACCAGCAATATCTATTTTTTTATTTCTAGAACTAACTCTAGTTTGTTAGAAATACTTAAGAATTAAGTTAGTTAATGTATGTAAAAGTTGATGCATAGTAATATCTTGATATATTTTAGCTAATATTATTATTTATTGATTGATGAAAATGAATAGATCACATTAAACATTCAGAGTATTTTGAAGATAAAAACCCTATCATTTTCTCTCTGGTATCTTAATCTAAGTTTGTTGTATACTTTATGTGAATTTCTGTAAAGGATCTTAATTGGAATTTATATTAACTCAAAACATTTAGGTTAAGATTTTTAGTAGACAAAAACTTTCTTTAGTCTTTTATCCTCTTTCTAGATAGGACAAATAAGCTTTAACACTTACAAATAATTTGTCAAGCTACACTATATTTTAAAAGGGCTAGATGTTTAGTGAGTAAGCCCAAGTCTGAAATTCAGTATTTATCTTATCCACTTATATGATCCTTATCCTGTCACTTAGCAACTCTTTCATTATCAACAAGTGGAACTCATAAAGCCACAGAACTCAAAGGATTTTCATAATAAGTTAAATAGTTTAATGTGAAATACAGATATGAACAACGGTATAACATTGTTACATGTTTTAATATTTACAGTTTCACAAGTATTAAATCATCCTCTAACCCTGTTGCAGCATCTTTAAATATCAAATATCTCATTGAACACTACAATGCATTATAAATATCTCCATCTAAATTCAGTGCCCTAAGAACCTCTTTTTTTGCCACAATTGTTCTAACTTTCCTTTCCTATTAAGCCAATACAAAATCCTTATATATTGCTAAACACATTACTGTGTTTGAAGAATATCAACATTTGAAATATTCTCATATGTACTGAATTAAAATTGAAATTCTAAGCATATAGTGTGCCTAATTTTATATTTAAAAACAAATGTCAATATTGTTATTAATCATAATTAATAATACTAATATTAGTAACAAATGTTAGTAATTAATTATTAATAAAATGTTACTTATAGATTATGTATATGTGAAAATTTATGTGATATATATATATATATATATATATATATGTTGCAGTATGTATTTGTTCAGTCACTGAATATCTATATGATAGAACTTGCTGAGCATTTGGGAAAACATCTGTAAATTTAAAAGAAATGAACATATCCAATCTTCCTAGAGAAAAAGACACAGTAAAGGATATGTCTGATAAATAGATGAATTAAATAGTGAGTTTCCTAGGTCATTGGTGCTCTACTCTGGAAAAAGGTTAATGGGTACTAGAAAGGGTAACTGTTGGTCAGATTGACCTCATTGACATGAGGATGCCTGGACAAAGATTTACCAGAGAAGAGGAAGTAATCCCTTTAAATACTTGGAAGGTGACATTTGCAGAATGGGGAGCACCCAGTGCAAAGGCCGTATGGCAGGTCCAGGTCTGCAGTGTGGCTGGAGCAGAGTGATAGAAGATGATGTCATGGAAATAACATGAAGACAGGTGGGACCTGTGTAGAACCAATCTAGGCTGTTGTAAGACTTTAACACTTAATGAAGTGGCACTCCTGGGAGAGTTTTAGGTGCAAGGGATACAAGTGATCTGACTTTGATTTTAAAAGAAAAATGTGCACTACTATATCAAGAGACCACGTAGAAAGAAGGAGACAAGAAGCAGGTTATTGCGATCCAAATGAGACACAGTGAAAATCCAGACCAGAATAGTAATAAAATGTTGAATGTGTTATTGATAAATTTTGAAACTAAAATTGGTGAACTTTCCTCATTGATTGAATGTGGCCTATGGCTAAAAAGGTATTTTAAGATACATAGTTTTTGGACCTGCCAACTAGGAAAATGGATTTGCCATCAATTGGAATACAAAATAATTATGGGTAGGGTAGGTTTATTGTAAAAGTACTAACACCTGCAGTTGAGTACTAAACAGGTTTTAAATACTTATTGAACAAGTCAAGATGTTGAATAAGCAGATAGATTTATCTGGTCAACAGTCCAGGGTTCATAAAGGTTCATCTGGAAAAATCAGATCTTATAGTCATCAGCATATTAATGATGTTTAAAGTCTTACAACTTGCAAATACTTGAGGAATGAATGAAGAGAGAGTACAAAGAACAGAGCTCTGGATAACCGCAACATTAATAAGTTAGTGAGAAGAGGAAGGAGATTAAGAAGATAAGGTTAATAATGCAGGAAGAAAATCAGAAATGTTTAGAACCCTGAAATCCACATGGACAAAATGTTTTATGGTTGAAGCAAGATTGTGCTTGTCAAATCTACCGTTAATATAAAAACTGGAAACTTGTTAATTGTATTTCACAAAATGACTTACACAAAAAACTTTAAAATCATCTGCCTTATAACTAACAAATTGCCTTTTAAGAAACCTTATCTCAATTTAATTCACAAACTTGATGTGAGGTGTACTCAAGTTTTACAGCCGCTTATGAGTTGTACAAAGGTTACTTAGTTGGTGAATTATATAACTAACCCCAGTGCTCTGATTGTAAAAGTTCATGTATTTTTTATGAAATCCCATTTGCAGATATAATTATAATTACCATTTCTTGCAAGTAGGTTTCAAATCTCATTATAGATTTCAATTGATGTATCAATTTGTTTAAAAAATAGTTGTACTTATCTGTGTCATTTACAGCCAATAACACAACCTTCTTCCATTCCCCCTAAACAATTAGGCTATCCAGGGACTAGTCATATTTCCATTGCTGGGACAAAGTGTATATATATATATATACTCAGCGTGCAAAAGAAAAGGTTCAATTTTGTACTATTTTTGAGGTTTCAGTCCATGATCAGCTGGATTCCAAGTCAAAAATGTCATGGTAGAAGGTAATGGTGAAAATAAAGCTGGTCACTTCATGCAGCCTAGAAGTGAGCCAGTTAAATATGCAGAGAGGGGGAGCCTGGAGCCAGATGAAATTTTCAAAGTCCCACCACCATGGCCCACTTAGACACACTCAGAAGTAATGGTTTACTAATCTTCTAGGTTTCTCTTATGTTGAGAATGATAGAGACCATGTGACCCAGAAAGTTTAGAGTACTATCGATAGCCTTTTTACAAGGTCTGATAATTCCTCGTGTAACCTAAACAGATCATAGCAGGAATATCTCAGGACCTTGAATTTATTCCTGTGCTTAAATCACTTACTAACGTAGTAGATTTCTTATACTTGCAAAAGACTCCACTGCATGCCTGAAACCCTGAAGGACTGAACCCTATATGAACTATGTTTTGTTTCACTTGTTGTACTGTAAATTATTATATAGTTCTACAGTTATTCTGTTTTTCCGTGTTTTATCATATGGTACCTTTTTTGAATTAGTACTCTTGTGTTTTGAGGCCACTTTTAACTAACACTTTACTCAAACACGACTTTTGTGATGCCACAGCAGCTGTAGTGTGGTAACTGAGAAGTAGACACTATGTAAGTGTGTACTGTGGAAGTGGTGTACACACCATGGATACACTGGGCAAGGAGCTAATTTACATCCTGGGCATAAGCTTTTAACTTGTTTATAAGTATATATTTAAAAGGCATGAAATTTTTCAATTGTTTAAATTATTTATTTTCCATTTAATATGTTCTGACCACAGTTGACTATGGATAATTAAAACTATAATGGTAAAACTCTTGATTAACTTAGACTACTATAGTAGCTTCTTTATGAATGCTTGTTTGCATTTTTAATGTAATTCTTTTAAATTCATTTTAAAGTAATTAGTTTCATATACTCTTCATAGGATTGGTAAAATAGGGTTGGTGGCTTGGTACTGAGGCTATTAAAACTAATTAATATTATTAGTACTTAATACTGAGGCTATTAAATTGAATGCATTAAATGAGTAATTTTTAAACAACAGATTTAAAGCTCATAGCTCTGAGGAATTCAGAAAGCATCAAGATATGTGCAGACTTGTCTAAAAGAGCCCACTTTCTGTGCCATGGATATTACCTTGCTGTTGTATCATTATGCAGTCAAAGAAACAAGGGCATTTACTCAGGTTTCTTTTATAAAATTGTGGAGGCAATATTAGGTTTTTAGAAGATTTCAGATTATGAAATTTTTAGGGAGAGGGACACCAACATTCAGACCATAGCAGCAAGAGGTTTGTATATCCATGATCAAAATTCCAAAAGAAATAAAGGCAGAGAAAAATTCAAATTTGTATTTATCTTCCAAAAGTCAGCTTGAATATCATCTTGAAGAAAGACCTCCCAATTATGTAGGAAAAAGTGATTATTTGCTTCACTTCCTTTTTGAGGGAGGTCTCTCTTGTATACTCAAGATACTTTTTTGACCTCTATATAACTGAATTTTCATTATCTAATATCTTATAAACTTGTTGAGTCAAGATATATTAATTAAAATCTATTGAGTGCATGTATATGTGCTGGACATGTGCTAATTTCATAAATACAAGAATAAATGAGACACATCCTACTTCCAAACTTGATTCAGGAATTTGCCAAATTTGTTACTACTACTCTGCTACAGATCACTAAAAAACAAACAAACATGGTTTATGCATGTAGAAATTAAGACATAGGAGCAGTTTGCTGAAATTATACAAACCCAGTATCCTGAGTATTCTTTTATTTTTCCCACATATTTTTGTTAACAGTACTATTTCAGACTGAGGATATAGGACATGTTTTCATTTATATTCAAACACGTCTCTACCAAACTGGAAAGACAAAGTAGTTGAAGTTCAAAGGACACACTAATAATGTCTTTCTTATGCATCTCTTTCCCCTCGCCCCCAACAATAATTATGGGTTTAATTGTGAATTCAGGTGGCATCTAGTTACTTCAAAGATTTTCACCTGCTGTTGATTGGAGTCATCAGTTTAGCAACATCAATAGAAAAATGGAACTTACACAAGAGGATTGCCCTCAAGATGGTGATGATGGTGGGTGTGAACCCAGCATGGTAAGTACTGTTTATTTCCAGCTCCCAGTGCACCTTCTGAACAGGCCATTTTTGTGCAAAGCAAATAGTCAAATAAGTAACAGTGTCCAGGAACTCGCTTATACACCAGTATAATTCATGATTCTTTCTTCTTCTACAAATATGAAAGTGACATAAAGTATGCTTGTACTGAGGGAAAAAACAATTTTCCTTTCACTGCGCATCTAATTACAGGGAGATTAAAAGTGAGCACACATAACTCTTTCACCTTTAATGGACCATTTCAGTCAAAGGTGAGGGAAGCCTCAACCTCAACCGACATGACTGATAGACTTCAGAGCAGATTTCATTCCTGTCTTGTTTGTTTGGCTGATTATACATTCAAAACTTATTCAAAAGCATCCTTTATCAACAGGAGGATGTTATGAACCAAAGACAAAGATATTACTGACAAAATACAAATGTGTGCAGAAAAAGTCCAAGGTGAACATTTTTCTTTTTAAATCAACTGCTGCAAAGTGAAACAATCAATTAAGAACTTTCATCTATAGAACGCAAAACCATTCATTTGACTCATTGAAATAAATCCTTTTTTCATTAAATTAATGGGATATTTTGGTTTTATTCTAAATCCTTTTTAAGAGTGTGAATGTAAGCTAGAGAAAATTTTCAGTCTCATAATCATTTGCATAATGATATTTTGCTTTAAAGCCTTAGGTGGTTTTTCTCTTCTTGTCTTTCTTTGGGAAATTAAGAAAATATTATTGACTTCTCTTGCATAATTCTAGGGCAGAGTCCCATCTGCATTTATCATTTGTAGAGAAAACTGTTTTGCTAAATTTTAACAGTATATAAAATATATGACTCATCCTTGACAAATTTGAAGTTACTTAAACATTTTTGTAACACATATATTCAAGGCATTTTACTCTTAAAATGAAACAATGCTCTCTGTCTCATCTGTGGTACAGAAATATGTGCTTTCCTTGATTCTAAACCAGTACTTCAGGGGAGAGAATAACGCTGCACAGTAGGGGAGGAGCCCATTCCTCATACCATCAAACAGCTTTCCTGCTTAAGGCATTTTCATCAACAGAAGCTGTGCCTGACACTACTTTTTTGTTTTCTCTCATTTTTTTTTTTTTTTTGTGTGTATGGTTTTGTGTTTTGTTTTGCAGTACAGGGTATTAAACCAAAGTCCTTAGTTCTGACCCTTTTTTAAAAAAAATTTTTTTTTCCATACAAAGTGCAAGTCACTAAATTGCCCAAGCTAACCTCAAATTTGCAATCTTCCTGCCTCTGCCTTCCAAAGCACTGGGATTATAGGCATGAGTCACAATATTTCTGGTTTTATTTCATTATTATTATTCTTGAATAAATACTTGTTCAAATATATTTCTCTTTTCTTTTACTTTGTTTCACACAAAGGAAATATAAACTATACCTGAATTTGAAATATATGGCAAGTTATTCTTGTAAACTTATTTTAATAAGAGAGTCTAAGAATTTTATAAACAACTCCTGAATGATCTTTTGGAGCCTGTTACTTCAAAGAGATCATACTCTTTGCCAAATGTGAAGTGGAAAGTTTGCAAATGTAGTTTAAAAGCCTAAAGTTTCAGGTATACTATTTTTAAAGACAAACTACTTTCCACGGACGGCCATGTAATAAATACAATTCTTGACAAGGAGGAATGTCAGACTCAAGATAGTAAAGAAAATTTTAAAATCTCATTTTAGCAAATGATTTTCGCCTATCTTTGCTGACCATGTATTGAACCAGAAGAATAGAGGAGTAAAAAGATTTATAAATTTTAAACTCTTTTTCTTCTTCTTGGATCTCCTTGGCACACATCTAATAAACACAGATATGACCAAAAGGTAAAATAAAAAAATAAGGCACTAAATTTAAAAGTGTTTGTATCTTCATCCTACCTGTATCTGAGGACACATGGTCCTCTTTAAAGAGAATTCAAGTGTAGTGTAATTCTGTAAGCTGTTACATTATATATTGACTTGCAGTTTGAATACCTTAATCAATTTTTTGTTCTGGGGGAGACAATTCTCTTAGTCCCTAAGGGACAAATCTGTCAACATTTCCACTGTTGCATGTATTACTTCGATTTCTATGTGGCTATATTTGTATTCAGAGTTCACCACCAGGGCTGAACCTTAACCTTCTGTGTTTTGAAGAACTGAATTCTCAACTCACAAACAATATCCTTTACCTTTAGATAATACAGAGCTGCCAAAGATAGAGAATCCACATCTGCAATTTCTCATTGCAGGCTGACCTTGGGATTCATGACTAGTACTGCCTTCTTATCTATGTGGCTTAGCAACACCTCTACTGCTGCCATGGTGATGCCCATCGTGGAGGCCGTGTCACAGCAGATCATGAATGCTGAAGCAGAGGCTGAGTCCAATCAGATGACTTATATCAACGAGGCTGCCAGTGCAGGACTGGATATTGATGGTATCATGTATTGATATGACCACAGTAGATCTAGTCATTTAGGCAATTATTTATAAACTGTTCATACATGCATGATAAGAATTTAAATCTCTTCCTATAGTTCCTATAGTACACTATAAAGGACTCATACATATATCTTACCCTAAGTTAACTGTTGACTTTGTATTTTCTAGCAAAAACAGGAGGAATGTCTTACCTACACTTCTTGGTTACTCTTTCTGCCCTAAAATGACTTTCCTATGTAATACTGGTAATCTTTAATTCCTACACCTTATTTGAACTCAGCATCAGATTTCCCTATTTAATTCTGGTTGCTTTGATCCAGTGAAAAGTTTTTTGGTGGGAGGATGTTAGTGTTTATTTATGCTTCATGAGCCAGGTGCAGTGATGCATGCCTGTAATCCTGCGAAATGGATGTTAAGTAGGACGATCCTGGGAAACATTTTAGCCCAGTTTAGGCTACTTAGCAAGATGTCTCAACCACACCCCCCCCCAAATACTTTGTGAGATGAAAGCTATACCAGTACAAATTGAATTTATTTTTATTTCCTAATAATAGTTCTATTTCTCATACATACGTGCATGCAAACCCGGGGATGACTTACTTAAATTGTTTTCATTTTATTATGTTTTGTAGAAATTGCTATGGGACAAGGAACAAAGGAAAAGAAAGAGAAAACAAAATCATTTACAGGGTAAAGAATATTGACATTTTGCTTAGGATTTTCCAAACTGCTTTTTAGTAAAATTATAAACTAGCTTAATTTATTTTTTTAGGTATAGTAATGATAACGAGGAAATTTCAAGCAAGACGGAGACCCAAAAGGTACATTAAATTTGAATCTTTCTAAACATGAAATCATATTAGACTTGTGATTGGATACATCTGCATTTTTAGATATAGTGCTTTCTGTGTTATCTAAAAATGACTTGCTGGACTAAGTCAAAATGTAGTTTAATAGTTTGATGATTCTTCATGAATGTGTAACAAATCAACATTTAGATGGGAAACATTTTAGACTCTGAAAATTGGTGTTGTCCTTATTTTCTCCTTTTATTAGAATCATGGTGATGATAGTGAGGTAATGTAGTTTAAGAATGTAATTTTAGCCTGTGTGTATTATTTTTTTCTGTTTTTTTAAAATTTTATTTAAGGAGGAAAAAAAAGTAGAGAAAGGGTACAAGTTATACAGATTTACAGAAAAAAATAAACAGTAGGAAATCACTAGTTAATGGATTACATTTTTTTGTTCTATTAAAATCTTGCTGACCTAATAGCTTGATTTTCCTTAGGAGCATTGTCTTTCAGGTTATAAACTTAAATCTACTCCTACTCATATAACTATAAGTGATCACATAACTTTGTTGTTTCCATTGCCACTAAAAATTCAACGCAGAATTCATGAGTTGCTTCTGTCAAATACAAGCAAGGAGTAGTTGTAGACATCTAGCTATTAAAGGAAGAAAGGAGACCTTTGTAAACTATCCCATATAATTTATTTCCCTAGAATAAATCAATGTAAAAATACTATACCAGGTTTCATTGGGAGCAGTATATCTCAATACCATTGAAAAATAATTCTATATAGAAACAGTTGTGCAGTAACCATGGCATTAAGAATATGAAAATAAGGCATATGTCCCTTCCTTAGGCAATACAGCATTAGTATGCAACTCAATAGGAAAAAGAACACTTGTTTATAGAAACCTTTGTAGAAAGAGCAATTTCTATGCAGAAAAATAAACACTAAAGTAAACACTACAAAATTTTAAGTCATGAACTACATATACATTAAGGTTTTTAGGGATGAATTTTATTTATAGTTATACATATATATTACATATATTTGAACTGATTCCAATGTTATCTTTAGGAATAGAAATAATTCCCTTGAAACATAAAAAATCAACACTAGCCTAGGCATAGGATGGAAAAATGCACTAGAAATTGACTTTAAACACTGCTGAACATTGGCAAACTTATACAATAGGAATAAACTTACACTCAGGAACTTTCTTGTGGGCATATTGAGAAACTCTTTTGGCGTGATGCCTAAATTTATAGCCAAAGCCATTCAGATACAATTCTGAAGTTCTGACTCAGGCATACTTATTCATTAATTGATGAAATATTTACTGTTTATTATAAGTAGCATAGCTTTATCAAGGAATATAGACTTAAAAAGTAAGTCTGACATAAAACAAAGGCATGCACAGAGGCCAAGCCCTCCACAATCTAGAACAACTGGAGTAGATTGTCAGGAATGAAGTAGACAGGTGACTCTGGAAAAATGATAGCACATATCAGAGGAGTACAAACTCCGTAAGTATGCATGTGGGCCTGCATGTATATTCGCTCTGTGGTAGACCCTGGCACATTCCCTTGTGTGACACAGATTAAGATTTCAACAGACACTAAATTTCATCAATTAATGAATGAGTGAATACAAGGCCTTGAGTGTTAATTCTATGGTTTTTCTAGAACATAATGCTTAAAAATTTAGCATCTATAAAGAAAAATCAAGAGATCTGTTTGTTGTAGAAAAGTTTGAGACACATGAAAGCTTTATTTTGTATGTTGTATACTTAAAATATATTTGATTTTTAACAGGTATAGTTTTTATATGAATAAATATATGGTTTATGCCATGATTCTAATAATCCTTTACAAGTTTCCACTAGATAATTTAATAATAGCCAGCTACATAGAGGATCTGTGTCTATGTTATCTACGTGTATAAAACAGAAAGCAAATTTGCATTCATAAAGTTCTGCTTTTTCTTTCTTCTTTTTTTTTTAATTTTATTTAAGGAGAAAAGAAAAAAAAAGCAGGGAAAGGGTACAAGTTATACAGATTTACAGAAAAAAATGAACAGTAGGAAATCACTAGTTAATGGATTACATATTGTCATGTTAGAAATAATTGTTCAAGTCACAAAATTAAAGCTTGTAAAGTGGACATTCCATCAATGATACTCAAACAGTTCTGTTCATTGATCCAATAAAACTCTGTGATATCATTTTCTATCTTATACACTTAAATATACATGCAGTTATATAGTTTGGAGCACTTTCTTTTCCTCTCTTTTGTACCATGACTATTACACATTTTGGGTTTCATTGCTCCCACGGTTCTTATTACTTTTTTGGAAGAGAGTAAAACCAAATGTGACATAACTGAACAGAATCGGTCAAGTCAAAAGGGTGGACATAATAGATAATGTAAAAACATAATACAAGGTGATCAACAATGGTTACCATAATGCCTCCCGCTATCTCTAATAGAATTGCCTATATTGTTAGTTATAATACAATTGAACAAAACAGTAAAGAATAAAACCGACAAAACCAAAACATTGGAGACATTGTAAAAGTCAACAAGAATGGGCGTCATAATGAATCTCATTATCTTCACAGCTGATGCCTAAACTTTCGAACCTGATACTATCCAGTAAAACAGAATAGGGGAACATCAGTTAAAAACCAGATGGTGAGAGTAATACAGGGCTTTAAATCAAGGTAATGAAAAGTCAAAGTGGGTTACTATAATATATCCTGCTATTTTTTTTCCTTTAATTAAAAGGATAAAGATAAAAAAGTAAATAATGGAGTGGAGATTGAGATAAAAGAGGGCATAACAACGAAACAGCGCAGAACAAAACATAACCATTTAAGCAGAATAGTGTTTCACCACCAGATAATCCTAACCTAAAAGTAGTTACCATATTGTCTCTTTCTTTGAAATCCTTGAGTACAACTTCGTATATTGTAGCATTAAGTATATCAAAACAATGTAAAACCATTCAAGAGAATGACAGCATTACAGAGTATTTAGAATCGACTAACAAAAAATGAACAATGGTTTCTGTATAATCTCCTTATAGGTTAACCTATTAAAATATACAAATAAAAATAAATTCCAAGTAGTTTGCCTTTGAATTTGACTGACAAGGCAAAAAAAAAAAAAGTCTAAATATTTCTTCTATTTGGGGAAATATGGCTTAAGCCGTATTTAGAAAAATATGGCCATAGAAGAAAATTAAGAGTTACTCACAAAATAAAATGCAGAATTATACTAATAATACTATTGTTAAGAAGTAAACATTTACCCAGCCATGGTATGCCGAAAATCCCAGCTACTGTGGTAGGTTGCAGGTATCAGGCCAGTCCAGGCAACCTAGCAAGACCATTTTTCAAAATATAATTTTATGGTTTTCCCTTTTTTAAATTAGTATGTGTTTGTGATGCATAATACATACATTCATCATGGGGAATTGGTACGTATACAAGGAATATCTTGTTCCTTAATCCTTCCTTTCCCCTTTCTCCTGTCTTAGTCCATCTCCACTTATTTTTAATGTCTGCTTCCTCCACTAAAATGTAACATCTTTCAAGGCCAAGATTTTTGTCCATTTACTACCTGTTTTAAATATACGAAATGGTGATTGCCATATAATATTTGTAAATATTTGCTCGGCAAATACTTTTAGTTAACAAATCATCTCAGATAATTATAAACAGATTAAAATAACTCATGTAATGTATAAATTATAAAAAAAGCAGATAGATAAAATGGTGTGTCAAATTAATTTCATTTTAAGTGGAAAGATTAAAAATTGTTTGGAGCTAAGATTTATCAGCCCTAAAATTCTTAACAGAACTAACAATTTCTCAGATAGATACTAGGAATCACTATTTTGCTGCTGCTGTTGTTTTGCTTGAAGTGATAATTACACATTGGCAACGGAGACAATAGATACTCAGAAGTCCCTCAGATTCCAGGACTGACTTATTAGTATTTGTATGGAGGAGTTACACTTAGGTGTTGACTAAATAAAGGAGTAGTTTTGTGACTCACAAGATTCTTCTCTCCATCTAGGACACAACCTAAACCTTAATAGGGTTTGCCTCCTGTGTCCAGAGGAAAAGTTGTTCATTCCTACTCTAGTCTCACAACATTTCTAAAATATTTTTAGAGATGAAAAAGAACTAGGAAAAAAAAAAAGAGAGAATGACCCTTAAGACACTGACAACACAAGGGGGAATTTATTTGTCACTGTAGCAGCTGGGAGATCAACCCTGAATCATACACTTTCCAGGATAAATGAGTTCTAAGTATCCAAAATCAATTTGTACCTTCGGAAATCAAGAAGAAATCAAGTCACTAGTTCTTTCCATCCACTGTATTACTATTTAAAGAGATACCTTAGAGACTTACAATAGCTCAATTTCTAAGCCTTCAGCTATCTTTAAATGAAAAAGAAATTAGAAAATATGCCCTTAATAAAAAAATCTGAGAAAATTATTTTTCATCCATTTAATGTAAATTGTTGTTTCTCAAAAAGAAAAGTTCAAAGAAAAAATATCCTTGGACAAAATTTTATTTATTTTTATCTTTAAGAGACTAATACCAAGCAAAATAAAACATAAAAAAGCCAATAAAACAAAACATGAAACAAAACAATGAAAGTGATACAGAATTTCAAAACAAGCTCAGTGGTGTAAGAACCTGCCTGATAAATGCAAGGCTATGAGTTCAATCCCCAGTACCAAAATTAATTAAATAATTAAATAATAATAAAATTCAATAATGACTACCATAGCCTTGAGAAAATTGTATCTTGCTTTTATTTTTCATTTTTTTTTAATTCCAATAGTTCCACATTTAATGTCTTTAAACTTCTGGCAGAACAAGCAAATTCTGCAAGAAGACAACTTCACTGAAGGTCTCAAGGAATTCTTACAACTTTCCAGTAAAAGTAATTAATTAAAATCACTAAGGAGCTTAGAAATAGGGCACATTGAAAAAGTATCCAGCATAAATAA